CTTAACCTAAATGCTCTGAATTCAGTATTAACCATGCTTTCCTGGTTTTGGTAGAAGAAATAGGTTAAACATGAATGTAAAAGCACAATGTTTTCTAAAGCAGCTGTCTTGGGAAAGCGTCAGATACGAATGTCACCCAGAATGCTGTAGACTTCTCAAAGTCCTCTGTCAGTCTGTGGGACTGGATACAGGAATCATTAGAACAAAACTACTCATCTTGAGAAAGGACACGTTAACAGCTTTTGTATTTCCGCTTTGAAACATTGTCAGCAATCTGTGCAGCTGTCACTTAAAAGCTGTACAAATGAGTTTACTGCTATAAATGCAGCACAACGATCCATCCAAGGCAAGATGCTGAATTAAGATATGTCTTCCTAAAACTTAGGATCTATCGCCTAAATCCACTGATCAGAGCATACCAGCCTGAGAGTGGGATATGAACTTCTTTCACCATTAAAAATTGCTCAGTTACTCCTCTCTGTTTTATCCTTGTTAACAATGTCAGAGTTACATCAAATCTTTAAGTCGACTCATGACATCTAGCTCTCAGTAGCCTTGAAGATTAAAAAAAAAAAATGTAGTTTAAAAGTCAAATAAACAGCATTATTTGGCTCTCCTTTAACTGCTATTTTCCTGGCACTTGAATATACTAAATTAGAGTGAAACGATCTCCCTTAGCTAACTAAAGTAACTCAATGTACCTCCATTGCTGGGAGCGACTCGACAGAAGAATGGCCAGTTGCATGAGGGAATCTGTGAACCTGAAAGGAGCAATCTAAGCTTTCAAAAACACAACCAATGACAAATCATTTCTTCATACTGTTAGGAGAGCCAGTATCTCTTGGAATAGACCTTCTGCTTTAGTACTGTAGCAAAATGCCTCAAAGCTAGCTCTCATCTCATCTCACCATGCAAAGACCTCTCAAATGATATACTGAAATTTCCGAACCAGTGCCAAAGGCCTTCAAAGACAAAAGACCATTCTCAGCTCATATTTCAGGATTTGTCTGCTTATGGCCTTTTTTAAGTCATGCCACATCTATAAACCGCGGTTTAGCTCACAAACCTCTCTACCAGGTAACAAAACAGCTCAGTGATGCTATTTCTTTTAAATTATACTGATTGCAAAAAAATTTTTTTTTCATGTTGCTGGAAAAAAACAACAATCCAAAAAAGTCATCAAAGGTGACATTGACAGTAAACTATTTAAAAACATGTGAAAATTTACACTTCTATGTAAGTTTTCAAAGCAAAACACATGTATGCATTTTTGCAGATGATACATCCAGGATACTACCTGATATGAGATGTCTTCCCTTGAGAACATTTCAAAACAGAAGGGACAAAAATTTAATAGCAAATAGAGCTAGCTGAATTAAAGTACAGTCCAATATTGTCTTAAATAGCCAAAGATGGGAATCCACTTCTACCTTCTTACTTCCCCTTTAACACAACAATATGGAGTTCTAGGAATCTGTAAACATGCCGTTACACACGTACCGGATAGGTGTTCAGAGGAGGCCTTCTTCTACATAGACTTCAGAAAGTGACATTTATACTTTGGGCTTCTTAAAACAAGCAGAGCGGCTCAATCTGCAATTTCCTCTTCAACCTATAAACAGGGTAATGCAGCCTGCTCTCCCTCCATCCTTTCTGCACAAAGAATAGCTGTTCGTCACACACCTTCAGCTACAGGTGGTATCGTACATTTCTAATCTGACTAATCACTAGATTATATGTGACAGCAGTCTATGTGTTGCAAGAGGGAAAGTACATCCAATGTTACAGACTACATCCAATGCTAGAATGACCCATGGAAAACTGCAGGTCACCTCCTTCACTCTGTTTCACCACCACCTCCATCCCCCCGCCAAATTGATTCAGAGCTCTCACAGTTAGCGTAACACTGGGGCCTTATATATGAAATCTCTGAATGAATCACCCAAATTATATGACTCCATGATGCTAACAGTGATAGAGATAGCCAGTGCACTGCAGAGAAACAAGAAATATTTCTAAGCAACAGGGACATATAAAACTTGCCTATTAACTTACTTTTCTTCTTTTTTTTTTGTTTTTTGTTTTGTTTTGGTTTGGTTTTCTCTTTCATTTAAATAAAGGAAACAGAACTGTAAATGAGTTTGTCAAAAAAGACTGGAAGTAAAAAAAAAATTAGGTCTTGGAATCAAATTTCCATCTAAACTTCATTTCAATGGATTTCAATGCACTTTCAAAATTAAGAGTTTGGTTTTTGGTTTTTTTTTTTTTTTGTAATTCCAAATGAATTTCTGCTTGGATATATAGAGAGCATTTTTCTACCCACAACTCAACATGAAACTATGAGCAAACATAAACATGCAAGCTAGCAAAGCAGAATTTCTAAGACAGTTAAAATATTAATAATACCAGAGTGCCATTCTTTGCTCTGACATACTAAAGAAGAAGGATCCAGCAAAGAAAATGGAGCCATGTCCTCAGCAATAAAAATCAACATTTGTATCAGGATGACAAAGTGTACATTAGTAACAGCTGCCTAGTGCACATTCTAGGAATTAAGGACCTGTGCATTAAATTTGGTACTATAGTACTAATCAAGAAGCGGTTTTTCCAAGGTGTTGTGTGTCTTTCCTATGCTTGAAGAAGGTAGTCTCTCCCAAAAATGTCAAGCAGAAGAAAAATCTGCTCAGAACTTTACAGAAAAAAACCTCCACCTTTGAAGCTGTCACTAGCTTATTTATTATCACAGTTACACATAAGATGGAAATTTCAAATAAATTTTCCTTTAGGCCAGCAAATATAACTGTTTCACTACTGTACTGCTCCTTATTTTTGCAAGAAAGGCAACAGTTTTCTCAGTCAACACAGCCCCCAAAAAACATCACTGACTTCAACTTGTATCCCCAAAGTACGGGCAATTGTTAAGGGCAGCTCTATTATGTTTTCCCATATTGCATCTACACAATAAACTGATACAATACACAATATCTACACAATAACTGAAAAAACGATTGTCTAAGTGTAAGTATGTACAACATATATGCACACACACGCACATCTGTACACACACACTCTT